TTAACCATTAACCACATTAACCACTTTAACCATTAACCACATTAACCACTTTAACCATTAACCACATTAACCACTTCTCTGTACGGGTGTCGTCTTCCTGCTCCAAATGGATTTGTACACAATATCTCCACTGTTGGACTCGGCAGGTTTCAGTGCAGCTCTGAGCTCAGGAAAGTCTTGGATTAATGTGCTCAAATCAACCGAATGTGTCCACAAGGCAGAAAATCTGACGCCTGCCTCAAATGAAACCATTGGACCTGTCTGTTCGGATCATAACAGTAAAAAATAAAAAAAACTGAATAAATCCCTGAAAATCATTTAAAATCGTCTAAACAGCAGAAAACATGAGAAGAAAAGAGCTCACAGAACGCTGGGAACATAACAGCATTAATTAGGAGGAACTACTTTGTGGGGCGAATGTTTTGTAGGCGGGGCTGCGCTGCCACGTTACCTTTCTCAGCATGGCCTCGGACTTCTGGAGGCTAAAGTTTCTGGCTGAAGAAAGAAAAGGAGAGTCGATTAGACCAGGCCGTGGTGCTAACAGCTAAAACACAGCTAAAACACAAAGTCAGCTACTGATCTGGAAATAAACTGGTCACATCTGCATCATAATGGAACTAAACCAGTATTCTTTAAGCTACAGAAACTGAGAGCTGAGTGGCAGCTGAAATTTACTGAAGACGATGAACCAGCTGTTGAAGCTAAAAGAAGACTTTATCTAAAAGCTAAAATTTAAAGACAAAATGTCAGCAAAAAGTAGCAAAATACTAAAACACAAGCTAAAAACAGCAAAAGGCTAAGTTAATGTAGCAAAACATCTACAAAAAGCTAAAAGAAAGTAAAACTAATAATTTATTCAAAGTGACACAGATCCAGTTCCAGGGTTCCCTCTGACCACCCTGAGACCAGAACCCTCAGAGGGTTCTGTCAGCAGTCAGGTCCAGAACCTCGCTTCATGTTCTGTGATCTGATGGACACAAACACCAGCTGGTGCTGGTAAAACAGGAAGTGGAACCAGAATAAAGGAGTTTCTGCTGCTTCCAGGTGCTGCTGAAGCCTCAGTGTGGACCCGGTGAGGCCGGCCCGAGTGGACCGGTCGTCTGACACTCTGAGGTGAGGAACTCGTGTAGGAACGCTGACAGGACTTGATGTCGCAACACGTGAACAGTTTGTTTCAGTGGTTTGAATGGGCACCGGACTTCTTCTGTGGCCCGCCTGTGGTTCTTCTGTGACCCGCCTGCAGAGCGGGTTCCCCTCCTTCTTTCTAGTTTTGAACCTGCTACACAACAAAAAGGCGGTAACGTGCTGCCAGAACATCACATGAAGTTCCAGACAGGTTTTAAGGAAACCACTGAAGAAACATCAACAGATGAGTCCTCCTCATTCAAGATGGCCTACACAGATCTTAAAACTCTAAATGAGCCTAACTCGGTGGATCTGAGCGACGGCGAGTCGTTTGACCACAGCCATCATTTCTAGGATGGTTTGAGTCTAAAGCTCTGTAACCAGGGTCAGCGGGTAATATGCATTCCTTCAAGGAACGTCATTCATCTGAGATCTACTTCCTGTCCAGCTACTTCCTCTGACTGTTGGACACATCACACCAAAAATCTGCAGGTCATCCACGACATGGCAGATCCAGATCAACCAGCTAAAAGTTGCTTCAGACTCCGCCCACTCCGGCTCTCACAGGAAACATCAGGTCAGGAAGCAGCTGCAGACACCTGCTGCTGCCCTAGTGGGAGAAGCACCCGTTCACATTTAATGATGACTTGGACCTGGTTCCGAGTCTGACAGAACTCAGACAGAGCAGACGTGATAACGACTGCAGAGTTAGAGCAGCCGACTGTCAGCTGAACCTGAAGAGCAGAAGGCCTGACGCCCACGGGTCAGAAACTGATTAGAACCTGCAGGAAACATCAGAGGTGTCCAGAACATGAAGTTCTGGTTCAGTGAGCGGCTCCATGGGTTTTATTGCTCCCATCTGTCTGAAGATGAACGTGGAGTAGAACTTCTGATCAGAGGAAGGACTTCAGGCTCACCTTGACTCCGCCTCCAATGTCCAATAAAGACTTCAGGCTCACACTGACTCTGCCTCCAATGTCCAATAAAGACTTTAGGCTCACACGGACTCCGCCTCCAATGTCCAATAAAGACTTCAGGCTCACATTGACTCCGCCTCCAATGTCCAATAAAGACTTCAGGCTCACATTGACTCCGCCTCCAATGTCCAATAAAGACTTCAGGCTCACATTGACTCCGCCTCCAATGTCCAATAAAGACTTCAGGCTCACATTGACT